GCAGTGGGCGTGTGCACACAGTACAGTAGTAGACACAAATTCTTGAGCCCTTGCACGGCTGATGTTCTTGAAGGCGATCTGTGCATTGCTTCCCGAACCTTACTCGTAAGGCAGCAAATTGCGCTAAAAGATTCCTTGACGGGCTATGATGCAGCAAGTTTGGTAACAAAAGAAAGCTCAGAAAATTTTGCATAAAGTGTTATGGATTTGTTGCGTGAGAGATGGTACAAATGTGTTCGGGCTGATGGCGACTACTGAAAAATGTTATTTGACAATTTCAATCATTTCTGGATAATAAACTTGGTGTTTGATGTTCTAGTGCTAGAACTTATCCGAAGACCAAATACTGCACTAATTTTTGCAGAAGGGCACCGTGGCCGAATGGTTGTGATGCTCCTCGCAAAACGCGCGGGCGAAATGTCGCTCCAACACTCTCTATTAGTCAACAACGAAGGCCCTATGGAGCCTCACAGGCAGGCTATCTCCGAGACGCAAGGAGAAGTGCTCAGTCACTATTTTACGACGTCAAAGAAGAAGACGAGAAAGCGATTTGAATGACAAAAGTACTAGGATCTGCACGTAAAAACGCAGTAAAAAAGAGGGAACAAATTGCTATAAGAAAGGTTTTTGATGGAAGTTATTATATAACAATCAAACTAACTCTTAGCCGGGTCATTCATGCTAACGCTGGACGGACCAGGCTTATTCTGCGAGTCCATAAATTATTTGACCCCCATTTCTGGACAGGAACTTTGACACTTCCGATTTCATATCACGAAGCGTTTAATATCTGGAATAGAATATCATCCACAAAAGTTCTTGCAAAAACAACCTATAATCACGTGGAATATGAATACAATAAAAAATAATGAAAGCACGAAACTGTCAAAAAAGGCGATTTGAGTGCCATCTTTGATAATTGGAACGCATTAAAAATAATGAGAAAAAATTAAACGAAAAGTAAGGTCCTTAAAGAAAATCCCGACAATAGTTGCTTGAAAAGAGAAGCGTTTGAAGAATATGCGCTATAAAAATGCAGTTTTTTCCAAAGAAATAGTCGACGAATTGATGAACCCGAACGCTGTCAAAACTGACTTTGATTACAGACTGAACTTCCTCTACCCTTTACTCTTGCACGCGGTATGAAAGACCAGAATATTACGGGCACATGCTTGAGTCATTGAACAATCAATCCGACAACAGGTGATACATTAGTTCAACACTAGGAGTTTTCAAAACAACTGGGCGGTGTTTTCACTAACATAATGTTTTTAGATTTCACTCTAATGATGAATCCATCCTTTCAAGGCGATCAAATTTTCAAGAGTCAAAATCTTGCTCTGAAGGCATCATTAAATTCGTATTAAGTTATATTAACGGGCAGAAATCCTCGGAAGTTAAAAATTATCTTTCTTTTCGTTAGCAACATGAAAAGATAATTTCTCAGATTCCGTATATATAAACATCAAAGACTTGTCTCATTTAGATGTCGCAAGGCTGGTAACTTACTATAGTAGTAGTTATTATGGTATTAGTACAGATAGGAGTGCCGATCCGTGGCTCAATGGCCGAGTGATTGTGATGCTCGTCGCAGCGCGCGTGAAACCTCCAAATCTCTCTTACAGTCAACAACGTCTTATGGAACGCCACAGCCAGCCCATCCTTGAATTGCAAGGAGACTCGCTCAACCAGTATTCCACGACGTTCTCGAGGAAGGTGAAAAAACAAATTGAATGCTAGAATACTGTGATCCGTATACTGAAAAAAGAACACTGTGAAGATGGATCGAGAAAGAGTAAAGCGTCAAAGCAGTACCAATAGTAAGCGAACGTCCCTGCGACACCTCCATCTTTAGAGCCTAAACGTGTGCTATTTCATTATTTCAGTACTTCGCACAGAAGAACATTCTGATGAAAAATTAGAAATGCAGCTAGATACTCCTTAAGGTACGCAATAAGCACGAAGGCATAGCGGTAATGACTTCAGAGGATTGTCGTGATCCTGGAGCAGGAGTCAAAAACATGAAAGCGCGAAACTCTTGAAATGTCTTGGATAAACGCAAAGATTTCAAAACGGATCAAAAAGGCGTATGTGCCATTGCCATCACAGTGTTAGAAATGGCACATTATTTGCATTTGTTCTTTTGACTTGACCTAGGCGCGGTGCCAGGACATCAGTTTTTTACCGACTCATTCGGATACAATATAGCATGCACCCAGGGTCTGAAGGCGGCGTTATTGGGACGTTCCCTTACGATCTGTACTGCTTTTTTGCTACAGCAACAACACTACTACTACCACAACTATTAGCTTTACATCCATAAAAGAGACAGGTCTCTAACATTTGAGTACACGTCGCTTTGATGCCAAGTTCAGTAGAAGGTCTGCCTCTCAAGTTGTAGGGAGAAACGGCCGAGTGGTTGTGATGCTCTTCGCAAAGCTCATTTCCGCCCCCCAAACATTTCCGGTAGTCAACAATGAACGAGTATGGAAAACCACAGTCAAACTGTCGTCGAGTTCGCAAGAATACGTGCTCAATCAATATTCCACGACTTTCGAGAGGAAGACGAAAATGGTTCAAATATGCTCAAACTACCGGGACGGCGCAGTGAGAAAAGAAGTGTGAGGCGGATCAAATAAAGTTTCTAAAATAAAATATCTTAAGCTATCGATTGATCCTTTCAATATTATTTGAGTCAACATGTCATGTGGTCTGGTAAGGGCTCTTGTACAGCCCGAGACACGTATTTCGTCCTTACAGACTCATCAGCCGGGCAGAACCCGTCGTCTGTCGATCTTTTTATAGTCAGTTCACTCGTGAGCGTTACACTCCTTATAAAGAGTTGTCGACGACGTACGTTTTACACTCTATGTCAAGCGAAATTTTCACCTAACACAGAGTGTAACGCTCCCGAGAGAACTGACTATAAAAAGATCGACAGACGACGGGTTCTGCCCGGCTGATGATTCTGTAAGGACGAAATACGTGTCTCGGGCTGTACAAGAGCCCTTACCAGACCACATGACATTTTGGCTCAAATAATAATGAAAGGATCTGTTGATACTTGAGCGTGGTCTTTATAAAGCACTCGAAGGAAAGCTATCGATTAACTTTGAAAACTGAGCAGAATGACAAAAATTCTCTAATGACAGCTGGAAAGTTGTTCGCGTTCACAAAGACATGGCTGTCCCGCTAAAAAACGTGAGGTTTAACGGAACACTGGGGTCAGTTTTACTAAAATTATTCTTATAAAAGCCGCAATAATATTCCATCATTTGGAGATGGCAATATATCCTTGAAATATAATTACGTTTTATTGGGGTGCGCAGCAGTCTTCTAGAGCCGTTCGAACAGAGCGGGCATTCGTGCATCGGAAACAATTCACACCGTCCGAAAAAGGTTAAAAGGATAAAGGATAAAGCTCTCGGCGCTGATCAATCCCTGAGGGATGCGCCATGCATTCTACTTCAATTTTTAACTTCGTTTGAGGTGATTGAATGCATATCTGGCCTTTACAATGACTCGCGGTGGCCTCCCGCTGAACCGAGTCAGTGCTGCTTATCCTCCCAGGCAAGTCTGAGACCTGCCTGGTACCAATTTACCGACCCCGGAGGGATGGATGGCTTGGTGAGCCATGAGCGCGAGATCAAACCATTGACCTCGTGTGCGACGCAGTGCACCTCTAACCACTGCGCCACATGCGCTCATCCGAAAAGGTTAACAAATGAAAACAACAATTGCTATCTCTAGTCAATAACTCACACAACTCGTTAAGGTCATCAGGCAGAGGGGTGTCTTCGAAGCGTGGTCCTGAAAAGAAAATTTACATGAATATGCTGAAATACGTTACGGACTTTGATAATCATAGGCGCTCACCTGAATCTGTTTGGGTTTATTGGAGAAAATATATTTATTTAGAAAACCATTTAGGAAACGGCAGAAGGCTGAAGGCTTTCAATATTCGTGCATACGAAAGTTCCCGCACACTTGGTGCAATTGCAGAACACCTTGTCGCCATATCACACCGTATCAACTCAATAATGTAGGATGATATTGAAGAGACTGGATGATTCATTTTTCGCGCGTCAACCGCAGCTGTAGAATACTTCTCTCTATACCGTACCCGCAATAAAATTTTTCGTCTGTATTGATGCTAATAATTTCATTTCAGAGATATCTCGGCTTACAGAGGGCTCTCATTGCAGCAGAGTTTTGGTGTATTTCTGAATTTGAGCGTGGCAGTGACAACTTGTAGTTGAAACGGTGGAAGGCTGACTAAACAGAAGTCTTTTTATTTGAGCGCTTTCAGGATTGTATGATGCTATAGATACCCACTGATGCAAAGTGATGTGGAAAACTTTTGCCTTAGGCGGGACTCGAACTCGCATCTCACTATAACCGGAAGTGCGCGTTCTAACTTGTTGCACTACTGACCTCCGCTTTATAATTATAGAAACGGTAGTAGTTAGACAAGGACTAGCAGGAATTCTTAATTCAACCGACCTTCATGTGATTATATGATGTAACATTACATGCTCAATTATGTGAGTGATATGCTGGACTCTGAGCCTTAGGAGGAAAGAAATCGCCGGCGCATGCCAGTTAAGTGCGCTACCGAATCTCCTGCTTTGCTGTCATTCTTGCTGCGATGCAAGGTAATTCAAAGCTGTGACAACCTGTAATTGTGATGGTTCTTAGTCCATTTTAACGTATACCTCAATTCTAGAAAAGCTTTTATTAATGATATCAAAATAGAGCGAAAGCCTGAAAACATTGCAATATTCGCATTTCTAGTATTTCTATTGCACTTTTCGCGGTGTTATAAACATTCATATATTCCTAAGAGAATTGAGTGGTGAGCAAAACCACGGCCTCAGGCGGGAATTGGACCGGCGTTTCATCCTACTCGGGGACGAGTGCTCTTCCACTACACCACCGAGGCACATTTCCCCGACCACCCATTCCTAGAGATGTCTAAGAATGAGTGGTCGGACAAATGTGCCTCGGTAGTGTAGTCGTAGAGCACGCATCCCGCAATAGGATGAAACGCGGGTCGATTTCCGCCTGAGTCCGTCTTTTTGCTCACCACTCAATTCCTTTAAGAATATTTCAATAATCATAACACTACGAAGAGTGCAGTAAAAATACTAGAAACTTTGAATACTAGTTATCACAATGGCTGCCAGCTAAACTGGGTTTATAAAGCGATATCACATATCCGACGATACCTGTCGAAGTTTGATGGCTGATAGCTTACATAGAAATGTAAAAGAGTGAATGGTGGCGCAAACGTTGCCTCGGTGGTGTAGTGGTAGTACCACGCGTTTCCCGGTATGGATGAAGCGCGGGTTCGAATCCCTCCTGAAAGCGTCTTTCTGCTTACTACTCAATTCTTTTAGCAACATTGCAATAGTTTTGCATCGATTTGAAGTGGAAGCCAGTTAACAGCGTAATTTCACCGTATGTATTGCATCGACATTTGCAATGTTGGGGAATTATCAAGCTCTTATTTCCTCTAGCTCGAACTCAGACACCAAGGATTTGTGGTTCCTACTCTTCTTTTCTTTCTTCTCAGTTTGTTCCAAAGCGGAAAAAAATTGTTAATCGAATACAAAGATTTTGAGAAATCTCCCATGATTCACCTAAGGACCATTGGTCGACGATCGCGGCAACCTCTCTGGTCCCCACCACCCCCACAGCTCGCAATTAGGCCAAAGACGCATAATCGCGTAAGTGAATCAATATTCCTGATAATCATTTTTTGAGCCACGCATGTCAGTGGTCTATCAAAAAGGGCTGACTTATAGAGCGTGATACACGTGTTTCGATCCTGCGATCTCGTGGAAATTTAAGCTCCGGTCTCAAGAAAACACTCGAAACGAAAGATATTAATCAATATTGTTTTCCTTGGTGCACTGCCGAGAAACGGTGTTGTCAAGAAATAAGCTCTGTGAAGTTGCTAGATCTTAAGCTTTCGAGTGATTGCTAATAGTTTGAATAGATAGCTCTGTACTGTGGGAAATGCTCGAGTGTGACACAAGTGTTTTTATCTCGCTAAAGCGTTAGAAATGGTCATTCCAGAAAATGCTATGTGCCGTGCTATCCAGAGCTTCTGAATGAGTACTGATACCGTTACGAGCAGTTTTTGTCCAACGGAAGAATCGGTATCTATTCTGTGCTACCAAACGTAAAAGTGCCATAATTTAGTACCATGGAACACGTCCACGCGACAACAAAACATATTTGAGTTTTGCACAAATATAACAAAGCGCTTTGTCTTCTTTTCATCGCTTTCATGAAGACCTTTGATTCAGTCGAGACACAAGCTGTCATAGAGAACGTGGACAACCAGAGCTTTTGTAATCAAGGAATAAGGAATGTGTTAGGGTTGTATGGAAATTTCATAACCAAATTTCCATTATTCTGAACGATATTATTGTCGCGGTAAGCTGAGCAGTCCGAAAAAGCGATACCATCTCTCTAAAGTCATTCACTGTCACCCGCTAAACGTCATGCAAACATTAGAACGGAGCAGCATGGGAGTGAAAATAGACGGTCAGTAATAACTCCATCTTTGCTCTCCTGATCAAGTCTTTCATACAATCAAGCATTGACCAAGCAGATTGAATACTGAGCGATTTGAAAAGTGCTTGTTGCGACAACAGATTCCGACTAAAGTCTAATGAAAACGATATATACATATATAAGAATAGGAATGTTTCTGAAAGATACATTTGTAGTCAAAGAAGTGAACACTCCGAATGCTTTCGTTACGTTCATCTAGGTCATTAAGTCAGTCCGATGAATGATCCTCTCCAAAGTTGTGCAGAAGGAAGCAAGCGATTTGGAGAGCCTTGAGGAGCGTCGAAGCTGTAGTGAAGAGAACAATGAGCATCCCACTCCAAGACACGTTTCCGATCAAAGATTATCTCTGTCTTAACGCATGCTGCGAAAGCAGAATGAAAGATTTTCTGACGTTCTTGAAGAACTGTCGAAAAGTTGATGACGAAAGTATCTCATATCTCACAAATAAGAAAAAGGATGCGAAATTTGAATTACGCCAATGATCGAAAGCCAAAGATCCGTTCTACCTGCTGGGCTACCGCAGATAAGGTGAGGCTGACACACAATGCTCTTTAACAACAACCGGTGGGCGAGGGCCTGTACTAGCTAAATTTCTCTAATATAAAGCTTACCAAGGATTTGGCTTCCACATCATCCGTGAGTGGTCGATTAATTTTCTTTCTTACCTCTGCTTTTGATTTCGGCCTATCTCCGTCTTCGAATCAACTAATAGGAAGCCTGCCGAGGATCTGTCGCCGAGATTCATTCCTTGGAAACGATATCATGAAGACCTGAAAGAGCCCTTCCAAGGCTACGCCAAGAGACCGAGGAACATTACATGTGCGACTAGCAATATACCAATTGGAATAGGTGCAGGGGCCACACAAATGGTGAAGACGGACCATTTAAGTATTTCACTATTTGAAGCTTACCAAGGCGAAGAGAACGCTTCAGGTAACTCATATAGGCGATAGCTATGTTTACTCGCCTCGGCGCTAGTCACTCGACAATCAGCAGCATGACAGGGAATACATGATCTGTGGAGAGGTTAACCTACGCAAGCTCGAGATCCGCATTGTTAGAAATTAACATATGTCGTTGAGTGTTGTCCATAAGCATCTATATAAACTACTACTCCCGGCTATGTAATCGAGAGCTTGACTCGAATAGATGATGACTTGTTAACAAATTATTCTACAAAAATCATCGTCCGTAATACCGCAGAGATGACTCTCTTAATAGGCTCAAACCATGTTGCACCAGCAAATGTAGTGTGATAGTGTGCGTATTGCTTTGCGTGTCTAACTAGTAGTCTTCCTACACAACGGGCAAATAAAAGGCTTTGTATGCACGAACTCAAACAGTGTATGGACAGTATGGATACGTTAATTTGACGCAGCAATGATGTACAGTTCTTCGAATGAGTTTGCTAGTATTTTGGGACGAGTACACGTTACCTTTCGATCCACGTCAAAAACTAAACTGCTAACCAACTTGCGATAGCCAGTAGCGATCGGAAACACAGGAAAGCAATTAGATTACAGCTTTTGAGTTTCAAAGAGAGTTACCACCTTGTGACAAGGCTGCCATGCAAACTGTTAGTTACTAAAGACGTTGATTTGTAGTTTAGTGTTGTTAATGCAGTCTGAAGTTCGCCATACAAAATCCTTTTCAATATTCCAAAACTCCAAAAGGAAAATAAGCTTCACTGCGAACTTATTGTTGCTAATTGCTATTCGCCTTTTTTTTCTTATAGCCTTTCACTTAAAAACTCTTCAGCTAAAAATTTCGTTCTAAACACTTGTTCTGATTTCACTTGCCATTTTTCAAAAATTAAGGTTTTGATTCCGATATAGTAATTGAGAAATATGAAACTTTTTGGAAACGAGCTCCCAGTTGCATTATTAGAACTATTCTACGTTTTTTCTATTATTAAGTAACACGAGCTTATTACAAAAACTTTGATGTGGATAGCATTGCAGCACCTTTCTCTCTCTCTCTGTCCACGAAGGCTAACATCGCCAGAACTGAGGGTATTTCACAGACCATCCTTCTGCGAAAATTTGCGCCATGCTGGCACATTTACTTCAAAACCAATGACTGCCGTTTCGGTGACCGTTTTTCAGAGCCTAGCCAAAGCATGCCATGCCGTTAATTGCCTAGCTAAAATTGAACTTCCCATAACTTCTTAAATTTTTTGGCACTTTTGTTAACTGTTTTTATCCATTTAAGAAATTAGTCAATTAACAGTGTAATCACCATTATCCATTATATGCAATGATCTTTTGCTCATAAATCGGATGCCTCCCTCTCGAGAAGAACGAGGCTAGCAATCAAAAAAATTCGTTGAGTCAATTTCAGACTGATTGTAGTTTTCAAATCTTTTTTCGCAGATGGTTCTTCAGGGTGCGAATGAAATGATAATTAATAGAGTAATCTCAGGGTTATAGGATGAATATTATACCATGATATAGCGCGGTTTCTCATCTGGCGATTCATCTTCGCAATTTGAAGCCGGGCGTTGTTAAGAAAGGCGACACTTAGTTGTTTCGCGAGTTTCTCTCACTGCTGCCGCCAAATTCCGCTGTTGTTCCCTGTAGACACCGGAATTTATTGCCTTGCTGTCGAGCAGTTCTCAATACATATGTCCTGCCAGTCATTTAGATAATTGGGAAGTTAATCTTCTGAGCAAAGAACTTGAACTTTGGTTGAGCTGCAGGTCTTTGCAGCGAGGCAACCAGAAAGCGTAGTGTGTGTTGCTCTCGCTGTAGACCCAGCATTCGTCTCCGGAGATGATCGATTTATAGCAGTCTTGCCTGTACGGTTACAGCAGAAGGTTTTCACAGGTGATCACGCATGTAGTGCAACTAAAAGCAACTCTAGAGTGAGCTCACTAACTTCTTTGATCGCCACCCTCATTCATTTTGGAAGAAGGGCATCCAATCTTTGTCAGCAAATGGTTGTATATCATTGATCATGGAGTGATCACACCGTTTTAATTCTTTCTTTGAATAAATAACTATTGAATTACCAAACGTCTTTTACGAGATATTCAGCTACCTTATGTGTTACTTCAGCTGCTGATTGAAAATTTTGTTTCCTTTATGAATGTCTTAAAATATTAACCGTTCAAAATGCTAGTCTTGCAGTCATGAATCTAAGAAACTGAGGAGTTCAAATAACTAGTTGCAAAAAGTATTCGACCCTTGAGAAAACGGCATTCATTCAAGCTTGTGTCGAATCAACTTCTCTCTTACATAATAATTAAATTACTAGTCTATCAAACGTTGCAGGATTGAGACTGTTAATCAGCACTGATCTGTCCACGGACAGTGCACACACTACGCGACCATGTGAGACTCGATCTTATTTTCAATGCTACACTGCGGAAAAATAGTCTTTCTAGAGGATAATAGCAACGTTGAAATTGCTAAAATTGATGTTTTCGATTAGTGAATAGTCACAATTCAAGGGAGCGGCTCTGTCACGTGAAAAGTATGCATTTGTAGAGCACAAATATTCTCTTCTGTCTGAAAGCGTGATAATGATCAAAAAGCGATAATGACCAAAGTTTCAAACATTTTCACAGTTCTCACATACTATATTAGAATTTGAGGTTTAAAGACGGTCGATGAGTTGATACGCTGTTTACTTCTTTTTTTGAATTTTTTTGCAGTTAAATTTTGCTAGGGATCAAAGCTCGACATCATTCACAATGAGTTAACTTTCAGACTTACTTTTCAATTTTCAGAATTTCGGCCGCGTTTTTTTTTAGTTTTTTTTTGGTTTGACCAGATGTGCCTCAT